TGTAACTAAAGGCATGTCAGTAGGAAGTAAATACATGCTATAAATAAATGCTTCTTTAGATGGATGAACATGGTGAGAAGGGGAGCTTATTTTAGAACATATTTTCTGTCAAATGATCAGTACAAAGTGATGTACGTTGAGCATTAAACCGTGTTAATAGTATTATACCATGTTACTAGCTAAATGTATTTCTTATCATGAGAGTGTACTACTTTCCCTGCACACTTCACTGCTGGAAACCTTAGTCTAATCTTTATTTAAGTACCACTTTAATGTGGCCCCCGGTGCTTTTGGAAGGAATGGTGGATGTTCTGCAGAGCAAATGGCAGAAGCTTCATACCTCGGCTGAATCATCGTGGGCCAGACGTAGACTGTTTTGAGTCATTTCAAACCCCATTAAATTGCATGGCACTCACAACAAAAATCAAGATTACTGTCACAGAAAAGCACAAAGTTTGGATGTTTTCAAAACACCCACGCTCTCCACATGTACACTGTCATGACAAGAATACAGAGAGGAAATGTCTAGATCATCCTATATTTATATCATGTAATGAGCCAAAATATGATTATAAGAACACACAAACACACAGCATTTGCATAATTCCCTAGGCCTGCGGAAATTCAGTAACAATAAATTATGACTGAGCCATACAAATGAGTGATGGCTTGTACTATTTTATCCTGTGGTGACATCCATTTTTATATTATCTTCCAAATTCAAATAGCTTTATTGGTATGATTGTGACGACATTAAAGTATTATTTCCTCATGCTTAAACACTCTTTTGGCATACTACATGTGCTAGTTGCCCAGCCATGGTAGTATAGGGAACAACATTGATCTTTTGTTGCAAATAATTGGGAACATTTGAAGCGTGAGGGAAGAAAGGAGGAGCACGGATAAATGATAATGATAACTTGCTTGGCTGTGGGCAGCGACACTATTCATAGCCATCCTTTACTCTGAGGTGGGATTACATTCAATTGAGAGGAGCTTTCAGGGGCTGAGAGAAAACAGGTGTTAAACAATAGTCAGCAGGGTGTGCATTGAGATAAAAGCGATTTTAATTTAAGTAGCAACATTTGTTTTATAAATGTATGCCAATTACACTCTATGCACATACAGACACCAGTCATTGTTTGAAAGGACTATCAAAATGTCATATTTAGGATGTAATGCCAATAAAGTGGACACACCTGCTTCATAATACACCATCAAAACACCTGACCTGATTACTCTGTCTCTGTACGCCCACACACCGGTGCATCACGAGATGATGCAAGTCAAGAGGCCACTTGGCAGCATCAATGGGAGTATATTTTCTACAAAAGGAGCAATTGTATCACATTTACTCACTGAATCATCCTGGCTAAAAAAACTGCATCCTCTGTCTGCATAAAGACATGTGTGCTACAAGTTTGACGCACATCAAATATGTCGTCACTGCCTATGTGTGTTGCACTGAAACGATTATTGCAGATAGATAAGATGCATATGTCTTAATCGTTTCACCACATTACATCTACTGCGAAATTGAAACCAAAGCGGCTGGAATTGGAAAATACTTATGATCATGTTGCATTACAAGAAGATGACAGGATAACATTAGATAAGTTACAATTCAATGCAACAACAATACAATGGAATCTAGACAAATTGGCCTCCACTTTGCTTAAAAAGTGGAGGCCATATTCCCACTTATTATCAGGTTGGTTTGCATCAATGTGATGTTTATCCTGTGTTTACCTTTTGTTCAGTATAAGCAGTAAACACTTGTTGCATAAATGTAGAGTCCGCATGGCTGTTGATCGCCTCACTGGAAAAAAACACTGCCCAATCATTTGAAAACATTCACAGACATCCTTCAATCTGTCTAGTACTGCCTTGGGTATTATGTGCGTCCAAAAGGTTGTGGAGCTAATGGTTGGCGACCCACGAGCATTAAGACATTCATCTGCGCCCTCACTACAGGATAACTAGCTCCCTGAGTCTCACCGCAATTTAGTCAAGCCTCCAAATAATACGTTTACCTACTGCGGTGAGCTGCAGGCTCCCTCCATATCTTATTTCCCAGTGCACCACACTCCCACACACCAAAACACTCCATTGCACTCTGCATAGCGGGAGAATACGTCTAACCTCCCACTCTTGTTGCTTTGGGGTCAAATTAGAAGGTTACTCTAATAATTTCTCTCAAGACCTATCTCCATTTATTTGTGCCTTCAGTTTACATTGGGGGTAATCACACCTAAATATATGACCTTTTTCATTGGATAAGATATAACAAGATCCAGATATAGTCCAACGTAAAAACAAACAAACAATAATGCCTTAACGCCCTAAAATATTATGGAAGCTGTATGGACTCTGGTATTATTGTTTAAATCTACCGGGCCGACAGTGTTTCACAACGTATATTTTTACAGTTTTTGTTAGTGTGTTACGATTGCTTACTGTTATATTTCTGTGTATGTAATGTGTGAGTGCACACAATCTGGGTTCTGTACCTATCTGAATTAACTAACAGGAGGTTAAAAAAGATAAAAGAACAACTTGCGATCTGTACCACACATGATTAGACATGATTTAAACTGTAACAATGTGCCTATGAAATAAGTCAGTGCACTACCTGGAGAAGATATTTTCAAGGTGTTGTTAGAAACTATATCTACAGGCTATATATATATGTATATCAAACAAGTAAGTCTTTTCATTTACCATCTGTTTTTATGTGTATATCTGTGTGTATCTGATATCTGTGCGTGCTTGTACGGGATGCCTGCATAACTGTGTATACATACATCAGTTTGTGGATACATTTTTATGACATGCTGTGTGTTTCGGGGTTCCTGCTCCAAGAAAGTGTCTCTAACTAAAATAAGCGTCAGGCTTTGAAATGAGGGCATTTCCCCTGTGGTTTGGCCCTATTTTAAAGTGCTGCAAAACTCTTGGATTGTACTGTAGAGGAACAATTGTGTTGTGTGTGCAACCGATCAGTCATAATGTGTGTTTATATGTACAGGAAATCCTGGAGTTTATGAGTTGTTGTGTTACCACTGGTATACATTTTGTGTATGTGTGTTGATAGAGCCAAAAGGCATGCAGAAAAACAGGAATCGACCCCCCGATCTGAAAGGTCAACGCGGATATGCCTTAAACTTTAATTCTCTTTAACATCCAACAGAGGGCGACTCAATTGGTTGCAAAAATCAGTCAATTTATATAGAAGTCTAGAAAACGACCTTACTTCTTATTTGACTTTTTACTTCATTAAAATTGTGCAGACATGCCTTTGGTCTCAATTGCTAGGTGTATATAATTGGATATACACTGCAGGCCCAGATCGAAGAAAACAATAATTGTATGATGATAAATAAATACCACATTGTTATTTTTTAACTCTGAAGAAGTATCACACTGGGATGATGGGAAAGACAAACAATCTAACGGACAAAATACCAAGTAGACTGAGTCTTCTCTGACAAATGTTCTTCTAATATTACTACTTGTCCCTGTTGCCACAAATCTCCTGGGAGATCTCCAGATTTGTTTTGGGGTCAGACTGGAGTCTTTCTTTTCATTACTCTGACAGTGTATTGTATGAAGTCGAAATTATAGCATTTCTTGCTAAAGATAATGAACTGGGAAAACCCCAAAGCTATTCTAAAAGTATTGCAATAAACTGCCCTTGACATAAAAGAAGCACTGAATATTTGTTTTATAGTTGCCCCTACGACCCAGTTTCTTCTAAGAAATTGGGCTGAATGTAGAAATGCAATGACATCTACAGTAGGTGCGGGTTATAGGTTCACTGCTCTGATGAAAACCAGCAAAGCCTGGAAAAAAGTCATCTCTTCACATCAGAGATATGTCAAGGGGAAATATATTCTGATCAAAAGTGACTACAGAGGACTTCAGAAAAAGAGCGGTTGAGCCAGAAAACCCTGAAAAAGACAAGAGAAAGGAATTTCGAAAGACCCAGGCCTCGAATCAATCACCAGTCCGGTGTACAACTGGAAGAAAATGGATGAGATTTAACATTGTTTCTGATCTTTGAAAGACTGGTTATTCTGTAAGGATTGCTACAAGAGAACTTTACATTAATCAAGGTGGTGTCAAAAAAGAAGCAATGCATTCTGGGCATTTCTCACACTGGCTATGTTCGAACCACAGCTAGAAAATCACTAAACATGGACATTTTACATTGACGTTCAATGGAGCAATGCTCTGTGGCCAAAGAGAGAAAATGCTACATTTAAAAAACGGGGAGAAAACAATTTCACCTCTATTTGATCCAAGTAAAAAGAGCATTATGATTTGGAGTTGGAGCCTCTGGGCCAGCGCAGATTGCGATCATTGGCGGGACAATCATTTCCATATTCTTTGGGGATATTGTACAGAAGAATAGCAAGGGTAGCTGGTTGTAATTTAAAACGTATTTTTGTCACAAAGTTTGATAATTGTCCTTAAAGCACAGAGCAATCAGAAAATCAAGACGTTCAACTAATTTCAGACTCCTGACCTTAAACCAATTAAAATACTGTAGCGTAACTTGAAGCAAGCCATCCATGCAAGGTATTAGAAAAACACCAGCAGCTCCAACTTCTGAACAAGACTAATTGTCAAGAATGCCTCCTGTTTGCTTTCCAAGCCTAACCATCAGCTAGAGAAAAGTTTTGGATGTCAGGTCTAGCCAACAATACAATACCATAACATTAAAAAAGGTCCACTGATTTCTCCTCTTTAAAGATCTCAGTATGACTTTGGTTTAAATATACTATAATAACTATCATTCTTGTCATATCTCCAGTTCCATATTCAATGCTTTAAAAAGGCATGTGATATTCACCATATCCATATTGTGCATGCCCAAAGCATCAAGCTGTTGCAGGGCATGTATGACGCGTAAGAAGATCGGCTGCATTATTAATCCAATTTTGTCCAAGGGTAAAAACTGTCTTTCACTTGACATTGCTAATGTGTATTCTTCTTTCCAGCACTAACAAACGTGAAGCTGTGGGCCATCGACCGACAATGTTTTCAGACGATCATGATGAGGACGGGTCTCATCAAGCACACAGAGTACATGCAGTTTCTAAAAAGGTGAGGAAGCTTGCATACATTTTTCCCACAATGACATTGCCAGTGAATAGGGCTTTGATCTAAAAAAACAACAACAAATTGAGTTAACTAAATTAATAATTAATCCAGTGGGAATGTGCATGTTGCTCAGAAGATTCCATACTCCTCATATTTCCCATTAAGTTATAAGTGAACTGCTGGTGCATCACATAGAGAGCCTCGCCCCCAAACCACCAGGTACCCATTATGACTTAAAAGGCTTGTATGGAGTATAGGATAAAAGAAAGATTGATCAAACGACAGAGGGAGAGCATGTGTTCAGTTATCAAGATGCATGAGATGCAATTACAGAATACATCTCTTCTCACCCTCATCTCTGGACGACGCTTCTGTTTTCCCGCCACTTTGTTCTTCATCGAGCCAATCGTGAACATTACATCACAACTTCCCTCTATTTCATATGCCACTCTCATTTTCTCATGACTTGGTTTCAGGGCAGATTGTCAATTGTCTTCTCACTTCGTTTCACTTATGCACTCCATTATTTCCGTGATGTAAGTTCTCACATAATAAAAGCGCACGCTCTGCCTTGGATCGTTTCTACTGAGGGGAACCTCATGAATCACGGAGATCAGGATCAGACTGACACTTTTTGACAGGCGGGAAAACCAGCTCTTCTCTCTAGAACTTCCAAGAAATCTTCACACCCAAACTATTAAATAGGTTGTATATTAACTCCTTGCAAACTCATTGACTGTTCCTGAAATAAGTCCTTTTGATGTTTTGAAATAACTTAAACGAACATTTTTCACATAGCACGCAACCATAGGAATATAGACATGGTTAGAAAATACAAATATTTACTGTACAGTCTTTGTCACCCAGTCATTCACTGTCCTCCTTTGACATTAGCAGGTCAACCTTTGCCTACATTTATTTAAAAAAATGCAACCTTTGTTGTATCTACAATGCCTTTTCACTAGGAAGGGACACTTTAATACATACAGCATGAAAAAATACTTCCAACCGGATTACAAATAACACCATTAATCTTACTCTCAAACCCTAAAACTGAAGCTATTTAGGTGATGGGCTTTGACTAACAAAAGGACCCAACTCTTTGCTGAGTATAAAAGCATGTTTGGGCAGCTCTTGCCTCTCATGCGGCTTTCACACCAGCGCTTTTTCCCTTTCTAGCTCCGAGCTAGAGCTTTTCTGGTTCAGCTCCGTTTTCCCTTTTCTGCTCCCGCTCTGTTCACACCGCCCCAGCACCCGACTGGTGCTGCCGCGCTGGCTGCGTCATGACGTCACCGTTACAATCGCTGATTTGCTCCCCAACGGCATTACCGGCGCTCACAACAACGGGGAACTGCGTCGGGGTCGATGATCGTGTTGCTTTTAATCACACGAAGCCAGAATAAATTGAACTAACGACTTCTCCAACCTATGCTTTTTTCCTCCAGAGTGCCGTGGGTTCATTGTTTATTAATGTGTTTTCTGCAGCATTTACCGACCGCTGCAGTGTTTGGCTGCTCTTCCACGGGAGTTTATTCTCCTCCGTTAGCTCCCGGTTAGCTCACACCTGCCGCTCTAAAAGTATTCACTGTCCGACTCACACAAGCAGCTGATACATATCCCCAGTTCCCTTTAGCCTAAGTGAATGTGTGTCAGGTCTGAATTGACGCTGTTTGGTATCACAACGCTTGTTTATGAAAGTTTCTCTGGTATAAAATGGGTGATGTTAGCATAGCACCGAAGCTAAACTGACTACTTGCTATTGCTATCCTATTGTGGCATAAACCGTTTTCTACAGGCACATGTTACCGGCGTATTTTTAATTATGATTCTACTTGTGATTAGTCGGAACACGACAACCTGTTGCAGCCCATGTATGGATTCCATCCGATAGCTGCTATAAATACAAAACAACACGTCTGCCTCTCTCCACAATGATCAATAACAGTGAACGGATGGTCAAAGTAAGGTACAAATAAACAGAATCACACGAAGCCTGGTTAGTGGTTGCCTGACTTTATAAGTGTGTTTATAAGCACTACTGCTTGTAGGCAGGCATGACAGGTCGACCCTGTTCAGGGGAGGAGGGTTTAGTTTCCTGCAACGGCCTCGACGTAAGAGACGACGTAAGCGACGCCACCTCTTAGCTCCGAAGCTCTTTGCCTCTAGAGAACCGACAATTTTTTGGAGCTGGAAGTGAACCGGATTCCGGAGCTAAGAGGCCCAGCGCCGCTTGCCGGTGTGAACAGGAAAAACCGGCGCATTGTCAGGCTCCAGCTCCGAGCCGGAGCTGAAAAGCGCTGTGTGAAAGGGGGCATCATCGAGTGGTTCTTTTACAAAACTATCCAACCGATATGTAAATATTTTATAGATATACATCAAATTGCTTGGCTTGGGCTCTGTTTGGAGGAGTATCTGGGGGGGAGTGGGGAGATTATATATTTAAAGCATATCTTTTAATCCACAATAAACACATCATGTTTTTTTGTTGCCCAAGAAGCATATCTAATACGAGAAAGATGTGGTTAATTTGAGTTTAAGAGCAAACACATTCAGGTCCCTGAGTCTTCCTCCCACTGTAAACTGCTGTGAATTAATATATTTGCTCTCACAAGTTGTGTAGGAACACAAATGAAAAACTGACAGACAAATCCCACAAGGAATAACATACAGGAAGTAAGTGTGCTTGTGAATAGCTTGTTTATTACCTCTCCCAAGATGTATTTCTTATTACTCACATTGCTCCAGGAGGAGATACTACACGATGGTGTGTAATGAACTGACAAACATCACCTAGGTTTGCAAAACGCATATTGCTGCAATTGATTTTTTTAAGGGTTGGTGGGCTTTTTACTCAACCATCTGCCTCCTTCCACTTTAGATAAAAGTCTCGCTATAAGGCATGAAATACAAAGCCAATCTGCCCGATGATTTGGGAGAGCTCAGAAGAACGATCATAGAAATGCATTAATCAAGACAAAACCCTTCACCAAAGAAGTGGCCAAATTTCTCACGGCTTTTCTCAGTGATTGGAAAATCGCGACAGAATTGATTAAGGTTGTCTCGTGCTTTACTCACGTTCAAACAGTAACTGTAAGGGAGGTTGTTTATTTGATGTTAGAACGTTCAAATGATCACAACCCTGCATTAGTTGAAACCACACTTCCCCATTGGCCTATTATAATTAATTAATTTCCTGTAACACAGTTAATATGTTAAATGTAAATGAACTGCAACAGACGCTTATTTTTGTGGTCAACAGCTTCACAGCTCAAGGGAGTGTAACTCCATATGTGTCATGTAGAGTGGGATCATCTGTTCACTGTCTAGCTGATTAACTAGAAGCCACAACACGAGGATCAACACCCAGCAGCTAGGGCCCGGGTTTGGGGGCCAAGACGAGATGGTAGTCAGATTACTGTAATAAAGCATGGGAAAATGAGGGGAAGAGGGAGGATGGAGAAACACTGAGAGAGAAAGATGAGATGGTGAGATAAGTCCTTTGTTCGCCAACAGGGGTTATTTTCTCTCCTCCTTCATAAACATTGGGCCAGTTTTATTTAGTAAGCTTGATACAGGCAGATGCATTCATTGAGGCTGCCGGGAAGCCAGCAGAAAACAAACATTAGGGCCTCATACTGGCATATTCAACCAAAGGACCAGCTTCCTGCCGTGTACTAGACACGTAGCACACTCCATGCTGAAATATTATATGTATATACTGTAATGCAATATACAGCCCAGCTCCCATAGCATAATATTGATTTTATGTGTTCCTGTTCCTATATTTATGTGCATAGTGTTCACCGCACATTAAAGGGTCTGACTTCTTTCTGGTAAACTCTTTTAAAGCTCAACAGATACTTCTGCTGATATCAACACTTGCTTTTTTCTTTCTTTGTTCCTACAGCGTTCCTACATTCCACGACCTGCAGAAGACATTCTGAGCAAGCTTGCTGATATCCTAGAGGAGGTAAGTGCCTTGTTGTTAAGCCTGAAAAATCAGATGTCACAGGCCTACTCCACACATCTTAAGAGGGTTACATACATTAACGTCCTTTTGATGTAGTCAGGAGGGGAGCCAGAAGGGAGAATGAAGAGAGGATGGAACGTGAAAGTGTGCGTTGTGGGATTTAAGAGTAGTTGGGGACGGGTGGCGCGGTGGTCTGTGCATCTGACCATCAGATCAAGGGGGGTGCTGGGGAACTCCAGTTCGAAACCCGCTCCTGCCGCCACTGCGTCAGGCCGTTGTGTCCTTGGGCAAGACACTTCATCCGGATTTGCTCCTGTGGGTATTGTCCACAGTACATGTATGATACTAATGTGTACTTGTAAAAGCGCCTCGATGACTTCGAGGCGTGAAGATGGACGGTGTGGCGCAGTGCGCTGTGCAATGATCATCAGATCAAGGGGTGAAACCCGCCGCTGCTGTGTCTGTAAAGCCGTTGTGTCCTTGGGCAAGACACTTCACCTGAACTTGCTCCTGTGGGTATTGTCCACAGTGGTGACCATTGCATGTATGATATGAGTAATGTGTATTTGTAAAGCGCTTTGAGCATCTGGAAAAGCGCTACAAGTTGTTACTTTGTTTTTATTTTGTTTTATTTTCATGAACAGTTCAGGAGTCTGAATTGACAACCATTTCAGCTTTCGAAGGCCGTCAAACAATGTAAGCAAAGTGAGGCACAGCGTAATTGATTTCAGTTAATGATGCAGGGTGACATCCGTTAAATGTCAGCACGGTAACCTACTTTAGCAGTTAATTGTTTCATAGTGAATAAACTAATTTCACAGTACCATATTTTAATGTAAATCAAGTGGCTGACTGCAAGGCAGAGATATACTCCTGAAACTCTACACTACAGCTTGTGTTGCTTTGATATGCAGTTGACATAAATGGACGAAATGGAGGCATGCAAAATCATTTGTACGTCTCTCTAACTGTTTTCTTCATGCTGGTGACACTGTTCGAGTTCCATTCCTTATTTATCAACTTCATAACATTTACAGAGAGGCAGTTGTTGGGAATAAAAAACATTAAACAACCAACAACTATAAATACATATAAAAAAGGAAAATTAAATGCAAGTAAAAACAAAATAAGAGATTAAACTTAAATGAGTGCAAGTTTAAATAATGTATTAAAATATAACATGGATCATTACTTATATTAATTGCAATGAATGATCTCAGTGTAAACAGGAAGGTATTAAGTGTAGATGCCAGTGGACATTTTGTGTCTCAATAACACATCTCTACCCATCTGCACACCACTATGTTTGATGTTTTTTCCAGCATAATTTAGTTATGCAAACACGTTTACACTTGTGTGCTGCTAACATCCAGACTTCAAATAAGGCTTCTGGCTGCTTTTGTTATTCAATGACACCGAGTGTACATTTGCATTCATTTATGTAGCTACGATAAATTAGTTCCAGATCTTTTAGATTTTATGAAAAGATAAAGTACATTCATTAAACAAATGTTATTATCAACTGAGGACCATTCCAATTTTTACCATGTTTTGAACTATATTTTCAAGTAGTGTATCCTGTAAAAACAGCAAATGATTTGTTTAGTTTAAAACATCCCTTAGTTCGTAATGAGAACAAAAACCATTGCAGCCACCCCCTCAATTTAATGAATTACTTTAAGAACCTGCACAAAGACAATTTTCAAAGCTGTAATTAGTTACTCAGAAACAAGGAAACAGAAAAAAGAGAAGGCAGCAAATTCAGAGTCTCATTAGTTGAGTTGCCATACCTGATGTAAGGAATAAGTCCTTGACTGACAGGAAAGCATGAAAAATGACCACAAGTCAACATTTTAAACTGTGCTGGCGGTGGATTGCATTGGGCAAGCCAGCGACCCTTGGATTCCAAATCAATGCAGAATAGTTTAACTACATAGTAGCACAACGCCTCTTTTTATTGTATTTAGTCCGCCTTAATATATTGTAACGTTCGACAAAAGGGAGTCGGAAACAGGCTTCAAGTTATGGAGGGTTTATTAACTCCTTGGTCACTCACGGACACAGGTTACATGTACAGGTTGTAGGTTTATCCTCACACACCACTCTACACCCCAACTCACACCCATATATAGGGTCAACGTCACAACGTCCCCGCCCTCCGCCGTCTGCTCCCCCAACCACAGGCCCGCACCCAGACCAGCATCACTGTGCAAGCTCTGTGATTGGCAGAGAGACGGGGGATGCTAGAGTGACACACTCAGCATCCTATACAGGTGTCGCTACAATATGTATCTTATTAAAAACAGCATTTTATTTATTGAAACACCAAGATCCAATAAAAAGAGAAGCATCCTACACATCCTCTGTTGTAATACAATGTTGCATTGAATCATTATGTCACATAGGCTACCATGAAAGCTAAGAGAAGAGGTAAGAGACTTTTCCACAAAATAGTTCATACATATATGCATTTGAAATAGAAACAGCAGTAAACTCCAATAGATGTGTCTTACTTATCCAGTGAAGCAACATGACACTGGGTCACTAGATGTGGATGTGGTCATGTCACAATTCGCTGTCTTTTTTAAGCATCATTGTCACTTGGCAAGTTAGCACGGAGTATTAAAAAACATTAAGAGTCATTTAAACGATATCTATTGATGATACCTGAGTGAAACCCTGTGGTTAAGTGGCTTGGATATGCGCTATGTCCCTCTGACTGTTAAATTAGTAAAGATAGGGTGCGTGCGTGCCTAATATCCAACTTAGAAGGTTCTAGGAGCAGTGGCGGTTCTAGACCAATTTGACTGGGGGGGCCAGGCTGGGGCCAGTTATTTTCTGATGGGGGGGCACAATAATGCAGGACGAAAAAGACAAAGACAGTATAAGTAATTGCGCATACACCTAAGAAAACAATGCAATACAGTTATTGGTATTTGTTTCATTACATTATTATATGCTTACCTTTGGGTGCTGTTTTGGGTCTGTGGGACCCCGTTTTCAGTGTTTACTAAAAGAAAATGTATGCAATTAATTATTTTAACCTGCTTTATTTGGGGGTGGACCTCACCTACTCTAGGGGGTCCGGGGGCATGCAGCCCCGGGAAGATTTTTTTTAAATGTTGAAGTTAAATCTGGTGCACAAAATGAATTTATGGATACAGCTCTCAACACTCATATGAAAGAGAGCTGTATACTTTTCAATAATCAAAACATCTTTAGAATATGATCACAACCAATAACAATCATTTAAACTTGTTTAATCTTATCTTATGTTACCTATAGTATTCTAGTATTCTTTCTTTTTATTTATGCATATTTTACTAATCACTCCCCTTTCAAACTGTCCTATAGCACATTGGAATGATTTCTTTATTTTTTAACAC